AGTTAATCTGATTGATTAAAGCTAAAAATCATAAAGATGATAAATGTCTTCCTTCAACATTTTGTTTAAATTTAAAACATTAAAAATAAACTTTCATTTGCCGTTTGTTTTAATGTAGAGCCAAGGCATTTTCTTTGGTCATGGATCTACTGTTTTTTTNAACCACTATAATACATTGATTATGGTTTCCAATGCTGGTTTCTTTTAAGCTTATCAAGAACTGGAATGTAGGAGTGTTACTCTCAAGTGGGTTCAGTATTACTTCCAGCTAAGGATCACTTTTGCTCTGCTTAGCTCCATTTTTGTGACATGAGGCAAAGCAGTCATATACTGGCAAAAAGATGTCATGTTTTTTGATGTTGACATCCAAAAGCACTTCAGAAATACAGCCTGCCCCCGACCCATTGTGCACATTATCTTAATAGCTGTACAGTACATTCCTGAAATCTGCTTTTTCCTGGATGAGACTTCAGTTGAGTCATTCAGGAAATTATTGAAGAGAACAAAGAAGTATTGAAAACAGAGCAAAAATAAAAACATTTTCATTATGAAATGTCATGGGTGAAGAACAGTAGCAAAGTACAAGTTTCTCAAAATTATGTTGAGTGGGAAAGTTTCCCATGCTTTGAATCCACTCCACATTTCAAATATCCCTAAGCACTTATGCATTCCGGTGATACAGAATTTTAAAATAAGCTGACTATATTTTAGTTGGTACATATGTGTGTGTCTCTCATTTCACGTTAATATATCAAACAAGAATCTTGTTTTCTAATCTGCTATGAAAAAGCAAACCTCTTCCTGAAGTCTTATGTAAAGATGCTATAAATCTCAAAATGTCATATCCTGATCCATTCAGAGAATGACTAAGACTGTGAGAATAGAAAAAAGCAGAAAGAAATAATGCAAAATGGAACTCTGTTGAATGTCCTCTGCCCATGCTACAGAAGAATGGCATGGGGGAGGCTATAGATTCTGGCAGGAGCTGCTGGGGACCTTTGAAAAGTAAAGATCGAATCAATAGGGGGTCATCTGAAACAAATAATGCAATGGGAGGAAACTCCAGAAGCCTCTGAACTGTTCAGAAAACTCACAGTGGTTTCAGAAAAGGAGAGACAGAGTGGGGACAAAAAGGGCGGGGGAGATAAGAGAAAAATGGCTGTGGAAAGCAAAGTTCAATAGGAATTGTCAGTATCCAGCCGGCTGGCAGCTATCAGAATCCAACCCACTGGGGAAAGAAGATGTCATTCCATTGTAAGCTACACAGAAGGGGCTGTGGAGGAAATATTGTTTCCAGAATCGTCTGGGCTCAAAGCCCAGAGCCAAGTAAAAAGAACAATACAAATAATTAAGGGAGTAGTGGAATTAACTTACAGGGAATTCTTTCTACTTTTCTTCACCTAGTGAGATCAAGTGTAGTATTAATTTCACATCAGATAGGTCTTCTATCAGGGAACTGTATCCTATTCTGGCAAAAGATGATCTACTAGATTTTTTTCCATTCCCAACTTGGAGGATGTAACAAATTATATATTGCTTGGGAAAGTGATGCACCAGGTCTGCTGCATCGGGGCGTATTTTAAAATCTCTAAAATGAATAAACCTCAAGGAGGGAAAAGAAATACAAAGGATTGCATTACAAAAGGACAAAACAAGAGACTGCTTCCTTTGCATTTATATAGAATCTATGGAGAGAAGGAAGTCTAACCTGATATCAACTCTAGGTCATTGATGTTAAACATTTTCTTTTTGTTTATTGTTTCATAAAAGTTTAGCTTGTATTTTAAGCCTATTTTGAGTAGCAAATACCATACTCGATTTGTAGGTAGAAAAATTAGTTGCTGAGAAAGTATTTCACTTGTGTTTAAACACAGAGCAAGTCAGTAAAAGAGAAAAAAATATGACCCAATTTTCTGGCCAATGGAATAAAAACAGAGACTACATGTCTACATGCTTTTATCAAATTCAAATTGTAAGGAATTTTTCTTATGGCTATAATTTAGTCTATGATTTGTCACTTAGAGATTACTGCCCTACAATTATGCTAATGAAACATCTGTAATCATCTTGTTAATAGTATAATACATGCCACAGTTGACAAAGCATGCCTCTTAGACTCCCTTATTGGTGCACATTATGATTGAATGCTCGACATATTTTCAGGCTGCTCTGGTTCCTGTCAATATCTGCTGTCAAAAAAAAAAAAAAAACCATTTAGGTTCCTGAATTCTTGAGTGATGCTTTTGAAGAAGAAAAAGTATCAAGTCGGTGAGTTAATGGCTAATTTTTCAATGTGGCTTTTCTTTGGCACCTATTATGAAATTATCCATTTTATGTGCCCCTTTTCAAAGGCCACTCTAAAATATAAGTCTCCAATATCAGAGCTGCTTTAGAGAATTTTAGAGCTGGTTAGAGCTATTTTTGGCCACGTGAAAAGAGCTCTTTTTAGATGGGTTTGATAGAGTGAAAAGGTCTGTCCCTAAAGTCAGGCAGTTTCAGTTTGGAATCTTCCCTTTTCCTGGAACTGTATGTATGACCTTTAGAGAATTAACCTCTTTAAGGATACATTTCTTAATCAATAAAGTGAAGATAATACTAACCTCAAAAGTTTGTTGTGAGGATGCAGGTGTGTAAGCCCTCCACCTCTGCCTGTTTTGCATTGTAGACTTTCTTACCGTCCTTCACTTGAAGGAAGGAAGTGTTCCCTGGCTAAGAGGTTTGAAAGCCATTGACACAGCCTAACATTTGTATTACAAATGGGGACAATGAGACCCAGAGCAATTGTTATTTAAGTACAGAGAACTTCTAGCAACTGCTAGCACTAGGCAATTTTCACTACTGTAAGCTACCCATGAAACATGGAGAGGCCACATGGGGGGCGCATCACTAAAAGTAATCTCCAAACAGGAAAAGTAGTCATCCTATAACACGTGCTTCACAATATTATATTATTCTGGATGACCTTTCCATGTCCCCTTATTAAAAACTACAATCTACTACAGAGCATATATACTTGATTAAACAAGTTAATTTAGCAATTCAGTCTTTCAGAAACAATGTAACTTGAGCTCACCAATAGGAAGATGCCCCCTGTAGATGCTTAATAAATGGGTCGGGGTAGGGACAATTTAACTAAACTTTTAACTGGTTAACTTTTCCCCAAATAGTCCCTATATTGATTTTGCCCCTCTTTCATTCAAACTGTAGTGACGAGAATAGCCTATTCGTCCAATATAGATTATCTTCAGTGAGTATTATTTACATCGTTTTGATCTTCTTTATTCAGGCCCCTATGATATTTCATCCAATCTAAGACATTGTCAATTGTAAAATACCATTATTTTATGTCCTGCCAAACTAAAGTAAATGTGCCCACTAAAATTGTAGGACACTATTGGTTGTAAGACACATTCTGACCAGATATATTAAAAAAGATGCATCTTGGAATTCATGAAGTATGGCTCCATATTTGCCACCATAAGACAAATCTTTTGCCTCTCGTATGCCCCCTCTTCCTCCCACTCTAGGCCACCTGGTATTTCCATTACACATAAGAATAGCATAGAAAGCTCAGCCGTAGGTTTCTAAAATGCTTTCCTCTAAAGTTGTGCTGCATTTATATTTTAACATGTGTGGTACATACTGATTAAAAATACTCCTTGGCTTGTTGGTACTAGGAATGGCTCCACAATGATGTACCTTTCTGGTTATTTTCCACAAATACTTCGGATCTGTTTCTTTCTGTGGTATCAGCATTATTCTAGTAAGGATAGGGAGTTTTATAGCCCATGAGTAGGAAACGTCATGTCCTGCTCCTAAAGGGAGCACAACACAGACCCTGCATGTTGCATGAACAGGGACACTGGATGCTTCCTGTATCATGGGGTTAATCGTTCCCCTGGCAACAGAGCTTATACCAGGCAGTTCCAAATGGGATGTACCACACTTCCTAATAACTTCCTTTGGTGTGGTACCAAAATCATACAATCCATGTCATAAGATAAAAAAACTCTTGCTCCCTTTGTTCAGGCATCATTTACATACATAACATCAAAACAAAATTTCAACTTTTCAAGCCCACATATCCAATTACTCATAAGGCAACACTTTATCTTCAGTGGAAAAATATTGTATTCTACTTTAAAATGGTATTTAATGGTTGTCATATGTGAGTAATACCGGTTGAAGACATTTTTGATCTGCATTACATATTTTCACCTTTTGACATCAGATAAGTATGGGCAAAATTCAAATTTACATATTATCTCACCAAGTTCAAATTACAGTGTCAATATATCCTTACTTAATTTAATGTTTAGACGGTGTCATGAAGGTATTTTATGTTTACCACTGATGGAGATTAGTATGTTATCATCATAAAGGACAAGAATCAATGAATGGTGATACAAAGGGAACTTGACTTTTCAAGCACCCTCTTTTCCCCTTACTGACCCACACAAGCACATGTTGGGAATAAGGCAGGAGAGTGTCAATTTCAGAGACTAAGGCAATAAAGTGAAGAACATTATGGAGAGGAGGAGGAACCTCAGGACGTGTAAATATCTCCCCTCCCAGGTGGTAAATTTGAAGGGGCTGGAAGGAGGGCTAAGGTGTGGAATAACTTATGGAGATGCTCTTTCTACTTTCCTATCAAGTGTTCCTTCCCTATCCTGAGAGAGAAAAGTAATATGCACCACAGGAGGGCAACAGCCAGAACAAACTGTCTTCTAATTCTTCCATCCAACAGGAAACTGTAAAATCACTGCACAGACCTAAGGATGTGTAATAAATGAAATCTGTAATAAGTGTAATCTGTAATAAATGGAAGTCAAATTTTCCTTTGCATATTTTTATGCTGTTATTACAGCAATTTTCCTGAGATAAAAGGCTTTCAAGATGTGCTTTTCAAATGCTTTTTTCTTCACAATGATTACTGTCTCAGAATGTCATTGCAATTTCTTACTTTTCTTGAGTTAAATCTACCCTGTTTTCTCTTTTAGGCAAATATCAATATTCCAATGGGAGCCTTTCGGCCAGGAGCAGGTCAACCTCCCAGAAGAAAAGAATGTACTCCTGGAGTGGAGGAGGTGAGGAAAACTCAGCTAGCAGAACAGAGCAATGTTTTTCCCTTCTAAAATCCTCACCAGAGGGGGCAGAGCCAAGGCAAGGGCTGGCTCTTTAGGACAAGGGAGGGGGCAAATGGCTGCATGTCAAGGAATCACATACAGTATGTGTATTTCTTTAGTTGTCTTGCTCAGTCAGCCATGAAACGCACTGCCTCCTCCCTTCCCTTCAGCCAAATTCAAGTACTGTACCTGGCACCATTACTTGAAGGTACTGGGTTTAACTTCCAGTCTGTGATTGACTAATTGATTGATTGATTGACTCTGTGTGTGTGTGTGTGTGTGGTGGGGAGGATGAAGCCTCAGATGTTTTTGGCCTAGCAATAGTCACTAGATTGGAAAGTTTTCACTTGGGATCTTTTATTTAACTGAGCAGGATGTGTTAATATTTGGTACAGCTTCTGATGAGTGGGAATGCTGGAAGTAAGCACATTAAATTATTTGGTACATCAAATAACAAATAAACAAAAATTCAATGTCTAAATGTTTTATTTGAAAAGGGGACTTTGCGAGGGAGTCTATCAAGCCTCCACTTCTGTATTTTTTCCTCTAATTCTTTATTTCTCCTCCAAATTCAAGTACCTGGTCTGCTAAATTGGAGGCTAAAATTACTAATGAATGCCATAAACAGGGAAGAGTTTCTTCCTCAGATGTTTATATTTCTTACCCAGTTGTGACTTTTCTGGCAAAACCTGGAAGGTCTGACTCTGAAAAAAGATAGTGAAGGTTTTGGAACATTTTATTAGCACAAGACATGGAAAATGGAATCAAATAAAGCCACAAGGCATAGCAAACTGTATTTCATCTTTTTAAAAAGGTAAAAAGGCTTTTAAACTCTACCAAGGGACATTTTTGGTATTTGCCCCAAAAGAATATCTATTAGCATTTCAAAGGTTCTTAATAAAACTTTGTCCTGCCTGTAACCTTTTTTTTTCCTGTGAATATTCCCGATGTGGTCCTAAATTAGTGGTTCCAATCTCCTATCAGTAGAAAGATAATTTCTGAAAGGAGGAGATAGAGTATTTGGGTGATATCACCAAGTGCTGGAATTTCAGCCACTAAGTCACCCTTGATGAATACAAATTTTGAACGTACAAGTTGAAAAGACTTGGCTGTACCCTGCTTTTATGGTTACATAATCTCAAGTTCTTGTGCTGTTAACTTTGCCATCTTGCCATCTAGTTCACTCATGATCATGAGGTCTCCATCTGGGACTTTGGCCAAGTATTTCAGAATCTGTGTCTGCAAAATAGGATCCCCTCCATTCCTCAGAGGGTCACTGTGAGGGAAGAGGCATGATATAATGGACATGGGATAGCCTAGTAGCTATTACCTAAATGATTTTTCATCAATTGATGTAATTATCCAATTTTCAGGAAGCACTCCTGGGCCTATTGTTTTTGAATGTTGTAAGGAAAAGGCATGGGGAGGTAGAAGGGATGGTGGTGGAATCCTTCTATACCTTCATTTATCTGTAATTAGATTTTCCTTTGTTTCCTGTGGTTCCTCTTAAACTATGTCACTACCATGGCAATCAGTCGGAAGGTAATTTGACCCACTTTTTTCAGTAAATTGACTAATGTAACAGCTGTATTGGAGGCTCACATTTTATTTTCCACCTGTGGTACAGATGGCCCCTGGTTCTTCTTTGTACAACTGGTACTTTCCTCCACACAAGTGTCTCAGGGGACTGGGGAAGCACTTTGCTCTCTCTTGCCTTGTATCTAATCTAATGGTTGCAGCATTCTAAAATAGAAAAGAACTGATACAGCTTGGTTTGTGAACACCTACTTTATAATTAGCCACATATACAAATGGCCAACTAGTATTTTTTGTAGGATGGAGGGAGTGATATATCCACAAAGATACAAAGACCCCAGGGGTATTTCTTTTTTTCTTTCCTTTCTTTCTTTCCTTCCTTTGTCTCTCTTTCTTTCCTTTCTTCTCTATCTTTTTCTTTCTCCTTCCTTCCTTTCTTTCTTCCCTCCTTCCCCCCTCCTCCTTCTCCTAACAACCTGTTGTCCAACAGATGGATGTTTCTTGAACTGTACCATACCTTTCTCATAGAGCTCATTGAGCAGAAGGGTGGAGCTAGAGATGGTATTTCTTTACCATAAAAGCAGAAATAGACTCTCAGGATTTGTGAGGTCTGGGGGAGGGAGTGGGATCTAATGACTCAGTCTCTGGCCTGGACCTCAGATTGTTTCTCATGAAGACAACATTGTGAGGGGAGTAGACAGCTTGGCTTGGCCACAGAGTGGGTTAAGTAGGATTTTGTCAATGAGCTTGAGGCCCCAGCCACATTTTAAGGCATAGTTTGAATGGGAAAATGGAATGTGGATTTGAAGTAACATATACATCCACATTTATTATCATCTAGTTTGCAAACTTGGAATTGCTTAATTTTGTAGACTTAAGATTCGTTGCCTAGGCTTGCATGAAGATAATTACTGTGTAGAGATCATAATGTACCATCTCTGAACAGATTACCTCTATTACATTCACTAGGTTCCCTATTTAAACTCAGAAGGATTTTTGATCCTGACACCCTCTCAGATGTGAAGAGGATGTTCTCCAGCAGGAAGCTAGAATGAGTCTTTGGCTGTCTGCCAGGGCCTGTGAGAAGTGACCCTGTCTTTGGCCCACCTATGTATGGTCTCTGGTAAGACCTCTGCTCTGCTTACAGAGCTGGAGTATACCCTCTATCTGCTTGGCCCAGCCACAGATGGGCATGTGCCCAACACTGAGGCCTTACAGCCAAATCCTAATAAACAGGGCTGGTCTTTTGCGTAAGACAATCAGCTGCTTGCCTGAAGTGATTTGAAGGGTATTGACAAGCCTCTACTAAATTTCCCAAATCTCTCTTTTGACTGAAATACTATCATTTTTAAGCCACAAAATAGCACGTTCGGATTTTCTGTTAATTATTTCCCTCTCCACCTGGCTCCTTTACCAGCTACAAGCATTTAATTCTGGTCTAGCACCATTAACGTCCCTCTTCCTGAGTCAATATCATGTCTAATTACTAAATATATTGACTTATAATTTCCCATTATATGTGACTTTACCAAATCAAGTGGTAAGTCTTATGTTGATAAATAAAAAACACAATGCAGTGAGGTTTTAATAACTTGAGAGGAAGGTGCCTAATATTAATCAGCATATGTTCACATCATAAATTTTTGCATATGAACATGTTAAGTACAGACATTAGCTTTAATGTGTTAAATGTGCCAATATAGAACATTTTGACGTTACAAAGTTAGTAAATGTGACTTACCCAGGAACATAACAGAAGGAATTGGAAACATTTTTCTCCTTTATGCTTCTTTATTAAGATCTACCCACCTAACAGCCGTGGGAACATTTATAAGTGAGGAAACATTTTTCATTTCACGACTACATGTATTAAACACACACACACACAGAGCACTTTATAGCGTTGTTAAAAAATTCTTTCTGAAAGCATAGCAAAGAACCTTTTGGAATATCTAGTCCTCCAAGTGGAAGCATTACAGTTTTAATTATTGCTTCTAAATCTACATTTATAAGTGATAAATGTGTGTGCCTGACAAAAAACAACTGATTCTATGGCTCTGTACACTGACCCAGGGAAAGAATATTTTCTAGAAATTTATAGCAGGTATAGTCCACATTGAAATGCTTTATCATTTTGTTTCAGTGAAACGTTAGCTATTTCATCAGCACTGTACCAGAGTCAAAGAAAATGACTATAGGAAAAACCATTAGCCCTTAGTAGAAGAACAGCACCTCAATATTTTATGTCTACTCATCCCCTCCGATAAGCAATTTAAAAACATTTCTCTTAAGGATGTGTCTACTAAGTAATTTGTTAAAGTTTGGGGAAGCTTGAATACTTTCTTCCTTTAGGTTCTAACCAATTTCAGAACTACACATAGGATCCAGACAGGGATTAACACAAACCATCAGCTTTAATACCTGAATGACAGGGCTGCTGGTGGTGGTAGAGGGTAAGGGTGGGGTGGAGGCGAGGCAAAGGGCTTAGGGTCCACCCTCTCCGGTGAGAGGCAAACATCCAGTTACTTATTTCTTTTACTGGGAATTGTATTGGTTCACCTAGTTGTTGGCCAAGCAGATGGAGCTCTGCACCAGTCTGTGTTAGTCTGGGTCCTTCAGGAAACTGACCCAATGATATTTACTGGGTAAAGCGCTTGTAAGGGAAAATGGTAGGGAGTTGCATGAGGCTGAGAGGGAGAGAGGGATAGTGGGTTAGGTGGAAGCATCTCAGACTTCAGGGCTGTACTGAGGCCAGTTCTCCAGGTGAAGTTGCTCTGCAGAGGAGTCCCAAGTCTCCCAGGAATGGGCCTGCCTTAGAATTCCTGTTGCATTCAGTCATTGGCTACAAGCAGCCGTGGGAAATGTGACGTCAGCATGTTGATGGATGGCTGGATTTCAGTGTGAAGCAGCTGGAGCCATCATTCAATTATCCTCTCTTCAGTAAACTGATCTGAGAGGCGCAATCTCATGGCTGCCACAGTGATCAAATGTTCCTCCAACACCTTTCCCTAGGGCCACAGAGAACATATCCTCCGCTACCAGCCACCTCTAGCAAATAGAAGGAATGGGCTAATAATCAGCTTTTTTTCTATAGTAATGAGTTGAAGTCCTTGGAACCACACACACAAACTGATCTTGTTTTATAGTTACCATTATATAGATTTTCGTTACAGTACATTCTTGGGATTGATCCAATTAAACAACAGTCAGCAAGTATGCGTGTGCACCTCTGTGCCAGACGTTGGAAATGCCACAAAAAAGGACAGGATGTGGGTCCTGCCCTAAGCTGCAACAAAAATATAACATTCAATGAAAGGAAATTTAAAATACTTCCCGAAGCAGGAGAGAGCTGGGCTTCCTTTGCCACTCTCTCCTGTCGTGTCCATATTCAAAGAGGTTTTGCTTACATTCACTTCAGTTTGTTTATGCATCCCAAAGATGTCATTTGAACAAAGGCTGGCAGCCACTACAACCCAAACCAAAACAGGAAACTCCTGGACTAAATTATTGTTGGAGCCTGCCATACTCTAACATTGTATAAATCTTTGCTGTCAGGCATATAATAATTGTATGATTACAAATTAAAGCCAATCTTGTAAGATGCTCCTCTTGGAAACACAAATTCTTCAAACTGGTAGTAATTTTTATTAGTTATCAGAAGTTGAACTGTAGTGTTTTCGAAGTTATGTGGAAATTACTTGTTTTCTTCTTCTAACTTTATTTCACACTTCACTACAAACTTTAGGAGATCTTATTGAAACTCTAAGTCTGTCTCAACAACACAAGGGACAGTCAACTCAGCTAGAATCATACTTTGACATTCTTGCTTTAATTTTTTTTTCTGGTTCATGCTCATGGCTCAGAGAGATCAAATGTCTTTTTTGATGAGTTGATTTCTTCTTTCTCTTCAGGGTGTTTCTCCCATCTCAGAGGAGGAGAAGAAGCCAATTCCAGGAGCAAAGAAACTTCCAGGACCTGCAGTCAACCTATCGGAGATCCAGAATATTAAAAGTGAGCTAAAATATGTTCCCAAAGCTGAACAGTAGTTGGAAGAAAAAAGGTGAGTGAAAAACGATCTTCTTTGTCTCAAAAAGGCCTCAGTAAAATGGTTTAAGGAACCTTCCACAGAAGGAATCTGGAATTCCACAAGAGTTCTTAAATAACAGGAACCTTCAATTTAAGTCAGTATTTCGGGTGCAGTTTTTGGTAAAGCCAAGCTATTGGGCCTGTCTTATTCCGTTACCAGTCAGAGATCCATTGAGGATGTTAGCCTGCCATTCTGTTTCTGATCATCCTTCCTAGTTGGGGAAGGATGAAATTGGGAGAGGAAAGATGCTTGGGAAGAGGCCTTGAGGAGGTTTTGATCTTGAGGTTCAGGGAGCCCTCCCTTACTCCATGCCTCAGTTTCCTCACCCAGGTATCACAAAAAGCAACAACCTATTCATGAGCTAGAAGATCAGAGGATCAAGGAGCTGAACAAGTTTGGGTATATAAAGAGGCAGAGACTCAGGAGTTCAGGCCTTTAATCAAGTAACCCAGGCATGCGTAAGGCAGACCAAGAGGATGCCATAACAACTCTAGGTGTGGATGAGGTTAAGTGTAGGCTCAAAACTTGCATGTTGCCTAACAAGGCACTGCAAGCAGGGCTCGTGAACTTATTTTCATTTAATTGCATCCATTCAATAATGATCCCCTGGTGAGGGTTCAGACAACCTTCCACCTTCTCTCCTGTTCCTGTGGACTGGTGTGGGAACTCTGCCAGCAGGGGCAGTATGGAATTGGCCCAAATCATCACTCTTTCTCCTAGGAGACCCTGGGAGCAAATCTACCCTTTATCTAACATTACTAAAGTCCACAATGTAGAATCTATTCCATTCCTTAAACAGAAATTTAAGTCTAGAGGAGAGGAATCTGTACTGAGAACATAAAACGAGTTTTTATTTGGTTGTCAATTCACTTATTTGGTCACTCACTCATTTATTCAATCAATATTAATTGAGCGTTCATTATGTGCTGAACACTAGAAACATTTATTCATCACTTACCATGAGCAAGATACTGTGTGAAGAGCGTTACGTCCATTGTTTCTTTTAAGCCTCAGGATACCCAATTATTGTTCTCATTTTTGAGATGAGCCTTAGAGAGACTGAGTTTCCCCATCTATCATGTATTCTAAAAATGGAGTCTGACTTCAAAATTAGTGCTATCACCTACTTGTTATATTGCTTCAATTCCTTCCTCCCACCACACCTTGCAGATGGGTTGCACACCTACTGTTGGTGTTGGGGTGAAATCTTCTGACTCGATGGCAGAGGCAAGTAGTGGGGCAGATAGGTCCCTGCTGTGTCTTCTCCTCTAGAGGGAAGGAGGAACAGAATGTTCTGTGTGACAGTCCAATGCACACAGTTGTGGCAATGTTATTTGTCTTACACTTCCACAGACTTACTAGGATGTTTGCAAGTTAGTTCTGCCGAAAAGATTTCTTTATAGTCTAGAGAAACGCAGGAGCTGTTTTGAGTTAAAATAAAAGAACAGTATCTGGTGTTTTCAGCATAGTTACATAAAAGAACAAAGAAGCAAGAATAATACGGAGTAGATCTATTACCACAGACTGAATCCCAGAACCTTGGATGGGGACAAACTGATGTGAGCAGGAACTAACCTGACTCCTGTCTACATGCACTTGTTACTATTGATGACAGAATGGAACATATTGATGACTATCACACCGAGTCCTGCTTGTATTGCCAAGTTGAGATGAAATCTTTCAATATGGCAGGGATGAAGCTTCAGAACTTCCTTGTTAGAAAGCCTGGCGAGGGGAACTTAACTTCTTGTAATATTTATTATCATCACCCAACCAGGGCTGTTCAGTTGGAGACATGAATTTTTAATGCAAACTTTAAAGGCTTTTACTTCTATGAAATCCATGTTGACCTAAATTTAACCTCAGTTCCAGTTTCAGAATAATTTGGTTTTGAAGATTCGGAGGAATGCTGTTTTAAAATGAGCTTAGAGAGGATCTTGCAGTGTTACCCAGCAGTGGAGTTGATTCAGTAGCCTTGGCTGTGTGATTACAGGGAACAAGGAAGAATACCAACTCAATCAAATATTGAAAATGTACCAGAATATCCAGAACACATTTTTGCTACTTTATTTTCTCAGAGAAGACTTTAATGATTCTTCTCTCCTCAACAAATTCTAATGCAAAACTATTCAGAGAGACCTATTTTTCCTTATTCTTACATTAATGTGAAAATCTAAGTTGAATGGGTAATTGATCTGAATTCCAAATGAGTACAGTCATTGTTTTAAGCCAAGGAATGATCTTTAGTTTTTTGTAGCAAGCTGTTTTGCTTTTGACTTATTTTTCCCCTGCAGATATGTCTGAGATTTCAAGACTTCAGTAGTCATAGTCTGTCATAGAAGGAAAACATTTCTTAACATTGATTGATTCAGTGAACTCATAAGCAGTAAATACCTTGGACCAGCCATCACTTAACCCTTCACTGGTTGGATTGATTTTTTTCTTCTTGGATCACTACTTTGTCACCCACCCTCATCCTGTGTGGTCCAGTTATTAGACCAAACAGATCATTGGTTTGAAGATTGAATAAATCTATCATGCCCATAGTGTAAACACAGTGAAAACCACAAGGCTTAAGGTCCACATAGTACTGTAACTGTTACAGTACTTCAGACATATAAGACAGGTTAGCAGCTCATTCCAGCCAAGATCAGTGCCTCCTTTCAAGTGGGATTACAGATTCTTTCTATACCCTGGAAATTGTTCACAGAAATCAGTTAAATGGAATTGTTCACAGAAATCAGTTAAAAACATTACAGAATAAGAATCAGAAAGGCCAATGACTACTCTGTTTGGGCATCAGAAATCATGGCTTATGGAAAAGGACTTGGGGCCTACACCGAATCCGGTACCAGACCAGGAAATATAGAGACAGCCCATACCAAGACAAAGCCAAAAGACACAGGAGTGTCCCAAATGGGGCCCCAGTCAAGGCTGGAACTGACATGGGACAGGGAAGGTAGGATCGTCAGCCATATAAATTTTGGAATCCTCCTGGCTGTGATTTAAGGTAGCCAGATGGTGACTTAAGAAAGTCCAAGAACCAGATGAAGAGGCAGGACCAGTGGCACAATCTAGAAACCAGGTGTCTTCCAACACTTCTAATCCTGCTTGTTTGCTGCCTTATCAGGAATCCTGCAGGGCCACTACCAGAAGCCACTGTCAGCTTGTTTGCTTGTAGTTGTAGCAGGCTTCGTGGACAAAGGCCTGGGGAACCTGCAGAACTGCTCTGGGCTGGTGTCCAAACAGACTCTGTGCCCATTTCTGTTTGCTCCCAACACTTAGATCAGAGCATAGGTGATCAGTAAAGAAGTCCTGAAACTAACTTCTATACTGTGGGTACTTTCTTCTTTCTGTAGTATAATTTATAGATATAAAACTTGGTCCCCACTATCAGGATACTTAATTCTTGATGGAAAGATAAAATACTTTAAAAGGTAGCTAACAATTCAAGAATTAGATAGCAGCTTAATTATTAAAGATACCCAAAGGCTGTTTATGATCCACTAACAACTAGGCAATAGAGATAATGTTATGACTTTTGAGGGGGTAAGGTATGATGATTTGGGGTCAAGGATAAATTCAGAGAGGCAGTGGGAATGGAATGGTTTAAAAAAGGCTCAGAGATCTCCTTTGGACATATGGAGCATCCAGGGTATCATTAATAATTAGACCAGCCTAGTGAGACCAAAGAGTTCCTCTACGCACTACATCTTAAACTTTTGGGGCATAACATAATAAAACCCCATAGCCTGCCTATACCATCTCATCTCTTTTTCCAGTGGTAAAAGAACTCAGTGATATCAAATAATTGAAGAGGAACGAAGTAAGTATCAAAGTGGTAATGCAGCAATTACAAGAAAAAGAAAGGATTAACAAAGGCAAAACCTAAGAATAATTCTACAGTGATGCTAATGAGCATCAAGAAAGTCACAATTGAAAGCCTTGGGACTGACGAAGCTCTAAAAAGAAATTCTCATTCTGAAGTTTCAGGAATCCCTTCTCTCTCTGTTGGACACTGCAGCATGGACACATGTGTGGCAGTTGGGCTTCACGATTATATACTAAACTAGGGTTCGTATAGAAGTGAAAATCTATGGAATTAATCCCCATTTGCCATTATGAACTGAAGAAAGCACTTGTGTTTTTGCATTGAGAAGTCTTTTGAGGTCAACCAGTGGGCCTTGGAACACACTTTAAGAAACATTGCTGTAGGGCAGTAAATGAGTGAGTTGGAATAATCTGCAGCTCCTTTGTAGCCATACACAGCCTCATAATCTCAAGCTAGTCTCTATCTCATATCCCACATCAGCTAGCCAACCAATTTAGATTTTGTAGGTTTGAAAAGAATCATCACAATGGCCTGTGATTATGATGGGGGAGGTGTGCCCTTATCTTAGCCTGCTCGGGCTGTAATAACAAAATAATACCATAGACTGGGCAGCTAAAACAACAGACATTTATTTCTCACAGTTCTGGAGCTGAAAGTCAGAGATGAGAGTGTCAGTGTTGTTGGGTTTTGGTGAGGGTTCTCTTCCTGGCTTGCAGATGGCCATATTCTTGCTGTGTCCTTTGATGTCTCTTCCTTTTCTTATAAGGGTGCTAATTCCATCATGGGGGCCCCATACTCATGACCTCATCTAAACCTAATTACCTCTCAAAAGCCTCATCTCCTAATACCATCACATTGGGGATTAAGGCTTCAGCATATGAATTTGGGGGAAGGACACAAACATTTCAGTCCGTAACAGTCCTCTTCCTCCAGCACTGTGCCCCATCCCTAGCATATTCTGTTTATTGTGTCACAAACTTACCAAATTGTAATGTATTGGTTTTCTTGTTTACATCGTCTTTATGATGCTATCATATAGCTCCTTTAAAGGCTGCAATTCATATGATACATATTAGGCATACTGGGCAAGTCTGGAGGATGTTACCAGTGCCCTGACCACAGCAAGTCTGGGATCCCTTAGAAATGTACACATTCCAAGTCCTTGTAATCTTAGGGAGCTTACCACTTTAGAAAAAAAGACTAACTTCTATCACAATGTCCATAGTTTACAATGATGATCATAATCGGTAATGGGCCCAGAAATTTGACTTTAATTAATTGTATTCCTCTGGGAAACTAAAAAATTAAGGAAAATGTCAAGTTTGTCTCATTTTCCTCAAAAAAGGTGAAAGATGTGTAAGACCAGAAGAAAACTTAGTATTCAAGAATTCTTTGGTTTTATTTTTCAAATAACATCTATGTCTAGATAAAACATATTTACCAACCAGTCATCCAAAGAGTTGTCATCTCTGATAGGGGAGAACATAAGGTGCTCATTACTCTGAAATGTTAAGCATTATGCATCACATCATTCCTACTGATTCAAGGGCTAATTCTGAGAGTGTTGGCAGGAGGGCAAATTGATGTACCCAGATACTTGCTAAAAAGTACATTTAGTACATAACAACAGACCCCCAAAATACATGAAGCAAAAATCGACAGAAATGAAGGGAAAAACAGACAGTCTAATGATAATAATTGGGGACTTCAATACCCCATTTTCCATAATGGCTAGAATAACTAGACAGAAGATCAACAAGGAAATATAAGACATGAACAACACCATAAACTAGACTTAACACACATATATATAACATATATTTATATACATGTAAGTATATATACACATATATACATGTGTAGATATACATCACATATATATACATATACACATTCTAGATACATATGTGTATATATATTATATATATAGTGTGTGTATATGTATATATACAACATATAATACATTGCCCAACAACAGCAGAGTAATGCGTACACATTCTTCTCAAGTGTACATGGAACATTGTCCAGGACAGACCATATGTTAGGCCGTGAAATAAGTCTCAAATTTAAAAGGATTGAATCATACAAAGTATGTTCTATGACCATAATGGAATGAAATTAGAGATCAGTAACAGAAGGGTTTGCAAAATTCACAACTTGTGGAACATAAACAACATGCTTCTAAATAACCAGAGTCAAAGAAGAAATCACAAGGTAAATTTGAAAAATTTAAAACTTTGAGATGAATGAAAACAAAAATACAGCATACCAAAATTTATAAGATGCAATGAAAGCAGTACTTAGAGGAAAGTTTATAGTTATAAATGACTATATTAAAAAAGAAGATCTCAAATTCAATAACCAATCAATCAAATCCTTATTAGCACCTATTCCATATTTGGGAAAATGCCCTTTATCTTCTTAGAGTAAACTTAT